CTTGACTTCGAGAAGGGTCCTCCTGGGATTTAGTGGTAGATCTAGTGGTACCTCTTAATTATATCATTAGAAACCCCTGTTTTGAATTGGTTTCTAAATCCACTGCTATCACTCCCCCCATAGCGAAAATTTTCGCAGTTTTTGATGTCATCTCCCGCATTTCGACCTCATGCGGTCTGTCGACACTCACGGCGAAACCCTCAGTATTCACTGTCTACTAGTAGTTCGGTCGTACCTCCCTTCCTCACTGCTCGGCTGAGCTCGAAGCGTGCTGTGGCCGATCGCATCTGGGTTCCTCTCGTCTGGCCTCTTTGACGCGGCGTACCAATCCGGCCCAGACGATCTCAATTGAGAATCCCGTAAACAATGCCATATGCAAGCCAGTCCTGTCTGACCCACATTCGTACCCATCAAGGCTGACATTTATTGCTACCCTGACGATGACCGACAACATTCCGTTATATACCGCCACCTACAGGCCAGTCCTGCTCGCTTTTTTCTGTTATTATTTTTATGGAGGGGTTTTTTCCTCCTGTAAAATCAATCCAATCATTTTTAACTTTTTGCAAGGAGTTTTTTTTTCACCCCTCAATCATCATGTTTCTCAATGGACTTCAAATTCAGAAACTATGAATTGCATTTTGTAAAGATTCGGCCTACCTCGTCTAAAACTCACATGTAAATTTATTTTAACTTGCTTTGATGGGACCCCGACGGGTCTTTAATAAAAATTATATATCTATCTATCTATAATACGTCGCCTCGTCTCACAGTCAGTTTATGTTCGTACATGCGCGATCCTAACATGCGTCCAGTCAGGCCTATGTAGTTACGGAGACAGTTTTTGCACGGGATACGATACACTACTCCAGAGTGCTCCTCAGGCTTTAACCGGTCTTTAGTTTTCGTGACCTTACTACGCATGGAGGCTTTGGGGCGGTGTGCAATTCTAACACCTAGTTCAGCAGCAATGCGCTCAGTTGCTTCTGAAACGTTCCTAATATATTGCAGAGAATGAAATATCGCCGGCTGTGTTGATGTGTGGGTCATATGGGAGCGACTGCGTAGACAACGACTTTCGAATGCCTTCAGATAGCTGTTTTGCACAAACTGGTTGCGAAAATAACGGGCATCACGTGCTCATTTCTTTGATTTGCTGCAATGAGTTTGAATCCGTTTGTAGAGTATCTTCTAACAGCTCCGTTTGTAAGCCACTGGATGTTTCCTGTGAAAAGTGAGAAACTCTTGTTGTTTGTTGCCTTCATATAAACTATCGTCCTAAGTTAACTGTTAAGGATTGGTTTGACGAGCCTATCCAGGAAGGGCAACTAATGTTCCTGTTCTTCTTCCCCTTTGAGTTTTATATCAGGAAAGATTGCGTTGGGCAGGTTGTGAAAATGTTGTGGAATGTCCTTCTTTACGATAACAAGCGTGTCGTCTACCTAGGAGCGCCTAAATGCCGGCTCATGTTGGATGAAGACAATCTTTTCTAACTTCTGCAGGACCAGTTCTGCTATTAGACCGGAAACCGGTAAGCTCGTTGAATGTCCCTCGATCTGTCCACAGGTCACCCCAAAAAAAGTGGAGGAAGTTTGTTGGCACCGGCGTAAGGAACCCTGCGCAGTCACCTACAGTCTTATGCTGTCAATCGATTACAGACAAGCACGCCCTTTAAGGATCGCTTGTTCTGTTGCTGCTTTTATCTCTGACTCTTGTACGAGTCTCAGAACAACAAACTGAATATTTCGGTGCTCAAACACCCTTCTTTTTTTACTTATACCTACACCTGGACTCGTACTGTCGCTGTCACACATGTTTTTATTGAGGAAGACCAGACACGTATCAGTGTCTGGGCTGACCAGTTTCTTGTGAGTAACTTAGGTTAAGCTTCGGAGAGTGTGTGCACATGACTTCTAACGATGAGATAATTCGACTTGCGGACTTTCTTTTCACACCTGTCAAATTTAAAGCAGCCGTACAACGCTTAGAGGCTCACACCAAGGCGTGCGCTTCGGAACTGCGAAAACTATTTTCCCTTTCATATGACTCCCCAAGTCTTTTCGAAGAAAATCTCTGTTTTCCCTGTTGTTTGCACGGCCGCAGCCTAAATGCGACCGTAATAACCAGCCTACCTTCATTCGGTACACCGAGATTTAGAGATGAAGTTGAAATCGATTAGTACCAGTTGTTCGCTCACACGAAACCTGTAGAATAAAGTTATTCCTTGTACGCTCCAATTCCAAGTGTACAAAACGTTTCATAAAATTAGTGGTGGGGATGCAAATCCATTCCTGGTGTCACCATAAACAGCGTAGGCCTCACAGGGAATTAAGGGCTCGGCAGAGTGCACTTACACCACATGCATTCAAATAGATTTTGTGTTCAATTTTAAGCCCAAGTAAGCCAAAGAAGTGGGTGTTCGATAGTAAGGACTTCACTGTTCGATGACTCCAATCATTCGCGCGAAGTGGTTTATTCTTCTGCAGACTTTTATGCAACCCTGTAAGTATTGGCGATTTCGAAGTCTTGATCTGCTTCTAAAGTAAAAATTTTATTACTAATTATAGACCGTTCCCTCCACGGGTTCAAGTTGTTGGATACACTGAGGACTTCTGATTTGTACTTCACTTATACAGGTTCCTGTAGACACTTTCGGTCACTAGTTTCCGTGTTCCACTCTGTACCTTCGTGGTCTGAATTATTTTGCTGTGAGTCCAACGAGTGCTATACTGCATTTGCAATGATAAGGGTTTGTTTTCCCCCGCTAACCTAATTTTGTTGTTCCACTAACTGTCCAAGTAATTTTCTTCAACCGACCACCTTTGCATCTGTCCGCACCTTACGAATTCCACAGGCTTGGAAATGAATAAAGAAGATGAAGACCCGATCTCTGGGACAATGGGTTTATTAGTCTGAGCTTTCGGTCTCGTACAGGAGGCCATCGTCAGAGACTGTGAGAAGGCAACATCAAATGAGCGGTTTTTGTAGTCACGCCATGAAGGGGGGGGGGGAGAGATATGAGTGCAGAGGGTGGTATTCGCGATAAGTTGCGTCCCACGCCGTCTCACGGTGGCGTGGGACGCAACTTATCGCTAATACCACCCTCTGCACTCATATCTCTCCCCCCTTCATGGCGTGACTACAAAAACCGCTCATTTGATGTTGCCTTCTCACAGTCTCTGACGATGGCCTCCTGTACGAGACCGAAAGCTCAGACTAATAAACCCACTGTCCCAGAGATGGGGTCTTCATCTTCTTTACAACAAGAACCTGGGATTCGCATATTCGCTTCCATCCTTGGTAATGAATTTTCAAATCAAGTATTTTTTGATGTGATTTCTATAAAAATTCTAAGCAAATGCTTAATGGCTCACGTATGGATATTGCTTCACAGGAGCGATTAATACTGACCCACCTGTGAAAAACTCGGTGAGATGTGAATCCAGGACAGCAAGGGAGAGGTTTTAGTACACACAACGCCCTAGCCACTTGAGCTACGAAGTCCCCGGCTGGTAGATTTTAGGTGAATTACTTAGAAAATCCTGCTTTCGCAATCAGCCAACAGTATCAGATTTGGTGAATCCAGACGTTGCAGTAGGTTGGGCGCGTAAGTTGACCCAGATATGATTAAACTCACGTCTCCCGATGGGGGCCTCGTAGGTCAGGTGGCTAGAGCGTTGTGTGTACTAAAACCTTCTCCTTGAGGTCGTGGGTTCGAATTCCACTAAGGTGCTAAGTTTTTCACAGTTAGATCAATATGAATTATTTTAAATCAGTCGAAAGATCTACGAATTGAACTTCTATCACTTATCTTTTGTTATTTCTGCAAAGTTTTCAAAAATCGTCTCTTTCACAACCCACCGTTAGGATTTAACCACTCATGCAGATCATTGCCAGTTAACACAGACTAGGGTTTAATTTGTTGCAATTACTTGCCGAGATATATGTGATAATTTGAAGTGTTGGTGAAACGAACTTTAGATTCATTGATCCGATGACGCGCCTTACGAATTTGCTCGACAAATGAATCGTAGATGATGTTTAGGGTTGGGCGAGTTGGACGGAGCGCCTTGCCAACTAGCGCCTTTATTCTCATTTTTCAATTAGTTTCATGCTGTTTAGCAGAGCCGGCGCACAGTCCAGACGGTACTGTGTTCCTGGTTTCAAACTACAGGGGACAACTTAGCATTGTATCACCATCTACGAGTCGTGTCATAGCGAATGATCCTGCGGTTCTCGAGGCTTTTGATTTCATTGTTGAAGAAAACGTGGTCGTCTATGTTGGCGAAAGGCGGTTAAGGCATAATGAATCCATCTCTGTGATAAAGGTGAATATAGCTCCTTTGCTTCTTATCAGCTTATAGGCCACAAATCTCTCAAGTCTTCAAACATACACTCTGTACACGGCCAGACTGCGAGCCCTTAATGCCATTTCGGTCGACTGGGTCAATATGATGGCATATTGGGCAGACTTTAAGGAGAAGGTAATCGAAGTCGGCGAAATCGACATACGTCGCATGTCGATAACAAAGCATGCCATTTTGTTTTCGCAAGACTTGGATGACCTGAAATCGCTAGTTGTGGATCCATTAAGCAGGTACAACGTTCATGTCTTTGCAGATGGTCAGGTCCATTTACTGGTTGAGATCTAGGACCTACACAAAAATCGAAACTGCTGGTATGGATGGAAGTCGACGATCGACCATATTTTATGATGCGAACAGCTCTGGTCGAGAGCTGTCACTGGATTCTGTGGGTCGACGGCTTTTCTGGATTAGCCCTGATCGTCTGTTAATAGCCAGTGTAAATTTAATGGGTAATGACCTCCGCCACACTCGTGTTCAAGGTATGCATGATGATCGCCCCAGATTTTGTAGGTTTTGACAGTTGGAAAACGTCCTCTTTAAACGTGGTCTCTGGACGCATATTCTTGGCCCATGAGCTGAGCATTTCGAGTATTCCTGAAGCCCAATCGAGCCAGCTTTCACTCCGATCGCATTTAAATTTGACCTACGAACCCCACACTCTTAGAGTGTACGGCCGAGACAGCCAACCTCATCGTAAGCATTTTCTATTTTTTGACTCGATCTAACTTAAAATTCATGCGGTTGACAACAAACAGTTTGCAATTTAAGTTCCTTTTTCGCTCGTCGTGCTTGGTCATAATTTGCCTCATTCCAACATACTGCATTTAATAGACTTGGGTAGATTCATCCGCACTAGTTTGGACTAAGACGGTTCCCGCACAGGACCAGACGTTTTGTTCTACAAGAAATCCAATCCACCACCTTTATACAATTTCGCAGCTGGTATTTATTTCTTACTTTTCCCGAACGAAAGTTATTTGATTGTGTTCTGGAGAGACTCCACAGTTACTTGTGGCTGCCTGCCCAGCTGTGCATCACATTATTTTTGTTTTATAAATTACTAGAAACTGGCCCCAATCGGACAAACTGTGTCCCTGAAAGGTTCAAGCACCTTACTTTAGACGGTTCCACTGGTTGCGATTTTCTTTGCCTCAACTCCCCATCACACCCGAACTATATATGCAAGTGTCCCACGGGAGTTCCTTACGGCGTGACGAAAGCTCCCCCGCCAGACCTCTTGCTGCGCGACTCACCTCAAAGTACCAAGTTTTTGGTTCAGAATTCCATCTCTTGCCCGGATTTTCCTCAGAAGTTCCTTCTAATTGCTCGTCCACCCGGCATATTCATGCTTTCGCTTCAAGTTCCAGCAGAGGAAAGTCATCTTGTTCCTGTCGGATCATCACCGCGGCCACAGCGAACACCCGTGCGTGTCGATTTTGACCCGGTCACAAAGAGTCTATTCTGGGTGGACAATGCAATTTACCGCTTGAAACTTGGCGAAAAGTGTGAGTTAATTTAGTGTCGCCCGACATCACTTTCATTGCAACGATGAAGAAACGGAATTTCACTTTGGTTTGAAACCACTTTCTCTCACGCTTTGGACAATGCTCACGCTCTCATCTGTTTTATAAGGGCCGACCCTAAAGTTTACATAGAATGTGAAAGCCCATATGCATTCAAAATTTTCTGATTAGAAATGAAACGTCGAATCCTGTAGTGATAAAGAAAATTATAACCACGTAAATCACGGAGAACATATCCTTTTATGCTATTTCGCATTTGTAAACCTGCTCATAGTAAGAGGTAGTAAAAAGCAACAGCAGATTAGGAGCATTCGTAATGTCCCGGCGCGTGACATTCAAGCTCGTCCTTGAGAAGCAGTAGACTCGATCGCTGGTATGACAGTTTTATTTGTCTGGCGTTTAGAGTCCGCGTTTTAAATGAGCATCGGAGACAGCAAATGATAAAGATAATGGATGCGTGGGGAATGCATTATTTATAAGAAGTAGTTGTCGTGCCGTCCTATGACTGTCATAACTAAAACCTTTCTCATTCATCACCTATGATAGTACTCGGCGCAGCCATTGCTTGGTCGCCCGCATCTGAGTCGTTAATTGCCGCAATCTAGTCATCATCTTTCGTTATTGACGTGCAGATCATTCGCCAGCCTGGCTTGCCGATATTATCACTGGAAACGTTGTTGGACCATACGCTTCCCGTCTTGCCAATTACCCCGCCTAGTCGGAATCTCAGCACTCAATATAAAAGACAGGCCATTACGCTTGTTAATGGATTGCGGACACGAGAGCCATAGCTGAAGCAGTTTGCGACTCACGCCTTTTCATACTTAACGGGATCCTTTTTCCGTCACAGTCGTCGACCACTTTCCTGTTTTACTTCTTTAATTGCTTGCAATTATTCGATAACACAATGGAAGAATGAGGAAGACTAATTTCTTCTTAGCTTGATTCTAGTCAAATGTGGACAGCTTCGACCGTGGAATTTAATTTCATCTACTAGCAGGGTTATTACTACTACCTCACACTTCCTTTCCAAAAGTTTCATTCAGGCGGTGACTATTTTCTAAAAAATTGCAGACGAGCTGAACTTTAAGCAGTCAACAACTAAGCTGCTACTGCAAACACTTTCTTTGGGACATCCAACAAAGTTGCGGGTTGGCGAACAAAATCATAACTGTATAGGAAGTGCTGCCTTCTTAAAACCAACTTGAGCAGAACGAAACTAAGAGGAGGAAGACGTATTCAGTGAAGTTATAGAATTTCTTTATTTTCGTCTAAGCTTGTCTGGTAGTTATCCATAACCCGAGCTGCTGCCCGTGCTGAGCAAGAAAAGCCTGCCTCGCTGCCTTCGGCTTTCTACCATCTACCCCGTTTATAAAACTGCATTAATGGAATGTTTGAAGCACGTCCATGCACTCTCAGAAACATTGACAGTTGTTCAGGTGTAGTTTAAAATCAGAGATAGACATGCAAGTTAAAATCATTAAATTAAACAATAAGAATGCCAGGTGTTTATGCCGCCGAATATGGATTTTCTAAGTACTTGCTTTGGGCCGTTTAGTACATTACATGTACCTGCGTTATATTTATTTTCCAAGAGTCCACAAGCGCTAATCTGATTTTACGTGGAAAGTTCTATTTAAATGTTGTATACTCCTGACAGCTGAAACTGGGATATATTTCAGCACCTTCTCTCCCAACGTTTCATAGTTTGTGATCTTCCTGTAAGTCCGATAAGGAAAATTTGAAGTCCGACTAATATTTGCTTGTAAAAATCTGCTGAGGTGGGAATGTTGGGATCACTCAATCAGATAAACAACTGTCCCTTACTACGAAGTACCTGTAAAGCTGTCGTAACTTGCCGTTCTCCACTCTCAAGAAATATGAAACAGCAAAATATAAACTGCATGTCCAATATTTTAGGTGGGCTTTAGATCATTCCTGGACCGTTCTGTCTACTTTTCAATGCACTTGTCTTCCCGAGGGAGAGGGTGTAGATTAGAACACATCCACAAAGAGAAAACCTCGCAACAGCTGCAGAGTGATATAGCTCTATAACCCTAGTTCTGGCCTTATTAGAACTATTTTTCCCTTTTAGCACCGGTAGTTGTGATTGAACCTGCAAACAGAGCAGCCCAAACTCTGGATGGTTTAGCTGTGGACTGGGTTGCCGGAAATCTTTACTGGTCGACCGGTGGAAACA